TAGAATATTTATTGATCTTTTCACACCTGAACTTTAAAATGACAGTGATAGTTGGTTAGTGTTTGAGTGGTGAGCGTGCATCACACTTTGAGGTTGTGAGTGGGGTCAAGTTTTAATAAAATATGCTGATCAGCATAATGTGAAGTCTTGTATGTGTGAATCTTCACCCAAGAAGTTTTCTTGCCTGACCTGGTTTTCCTTTGCTCCGTGTAAGTTTGTTTATATTCTTTCCATTTAGGAGTGAGTTACTTAATTATTATTTTTTTGGTCATAGACTTTGCTATTTTAATGTTAATCATCCCCTTTCAACCCTGTGGATCTGAATGTTCCAATTTAAACGTACTTGTGTAGTCTTCACAATTCTGAATTCTCAATAAATACAGATCTCAAAAAGAAACATTCCTATTACTTCCAACCTGGTTTTTCTTCAGCTGCAATAGTTAAAGGATTGTGCACTGTGGGAGTTGGTGGTGGTTGAAAAGTGATTATCAGGGAATTGACCAATTTAGTCCTGATTTAGCATGTGGCATGACAAAAATCTTTCCATAATTCTGAAAGCGTACACAAGGGTGTCAAGAGAATAAGATCCACTACACGGTCTCTTTCCCCACGCGATGACGCATGTTAGCATGTCCTACTTGGCAAGCCCAATCCTGGATTTGGCCGCACCCGGCCCGGCCGCTGTCCGTAAGCGGTTGGCGGGTAAAGGGAGGGGAGGGTGACGCTCGCTCCGCGGGGGGAGGAGGCTGACCAATCGCCCGTCAGCCCGGCTGGCACAATCAGGTTCGCGGGCGCGGCTCGACGAGCTCGACGCGACTCAACCCCCTCCCCTCCGCGGACGCGGGCGCGCCGCCAGCCGCCAGTCCAGCGGTGTCCGCGGGCGGCGCGGGAGGGGTGACGAGCTTCGTCGCCGGCCCGGCCGTCCCGTCCCGTCACGCCGCCCGCACCGGCATCGTCACGGGTCCTCGCCGCCCTCGCTGGGATGGGATGATCCTTGCCGATAGTGCCTGCCTCCGAGTCGTCGCGCCCGGGAAGACAGGCGATGTCTTGCCGCTCCAGACGACACAGATACACTGTCGCCTCGGCTGTCCAAGGAAGGGGAAGCACGTAAGCACGTTGTGCCCCCCGTCCGCCCTCCTTTGTTCTCAACTCCCTGGGTCAGCCACCTTTTCCCGTCTCGGTTTCCTCTTCGACCGCCAAGCCCACGAATATGTATTTGTCTAGTCTGTTGGGGCGGAAATGCATTGTGACCAGTGCGTGACCACGTGCGAGGTCACACGCATGCGCGGGTGTTTCGAGGATCAAAGGACATTTTCGAGGTGCACGGGGCAGTGCGGGCGGGTTTGCCTTCGCACATGGCGCCCAGTACCCGGTACTTTAGTCAAACAGAGAAAGAAGAATGGCACGTAGAACATAAAAGTTCCCAATTATTGGCCGAGCAGTCTTTACACCCACTACCGGCGTGACGTAGAGGCAGGAGGCCCTCGACAAAACAAGGACGTGTGCGTTCTACCCGCTGCCCTTCTTCCTTCGTTAGCTAAAGCACACTATCGAAACGGAAAAGTAAATAAAAAGGCAGCCTTGACGGTCTCAGCTAACGAAGCTCCCCCCCTGTCCGCGTTCCCACGACGGCACCCTACTCTGGCATAAGGGCGGGCTGTCGGCCTGCTGGACGATGTGCACACAGACCCGTGCAGACCCGTGACATTAGCCCGCTCTCGCCCCGTCCGCCCTCGCGCCGCCCCCGCGCCGCCCCGCGCCCACGCGTCCCCGCCTCACCTCCGCCCCCCGCCGCCGCCGCGCCTTTGCGAGGACAGCGCGGGATGCCTGCCTGTGGTCACCGCGAGGGGCCGAGCGGCTCGCGGGGCGGTCGATGTCTGTCACTCGCGGAGCGGGGTTCGATGACTGTCTGTGTGCGTGCTTGTGCCGCTTGCGCTAGCGTGGCGTGGCGTGGCGCCGGGGAGGGACCTGAGCCGAGCGGTGCCAAGTCTGGACAAGTGTTTGCCACACGCGCCACAAAACCGTCCCGGCGACAGTAATTAATTCACTCGGTCGGCCGAGGGGTTGTTGGGGCCCCCCTCGGCCTCACCCCGGAAGGGGATCGTTCACCAAGTGAGCCCGCTTTCATCGTTCTTATTCTTCCCAGATTATTGGCATGTTGCGGAGGCTCGGCGCCCGCGAGACTCGGGGTAGGCCAACCCGCAATGCACGCATGCACTGCAGTGGTAGACGTTGCCTACCTATCAGGCGCTAGGAGAGCCTGCACAACATGTTGAAGAACTTTGCCACCTGCTGCTGCAACTGTGCAAAATCCGTTGGCCGGTGTTGAGCCAACAAGCGACCCTCCTGCCTGGCGACCTGCTTTTTTTTTGGGGGGGGGGGGGTTCACTAAAGGCCCCTCACGGCGCACAATCGGCGGAGGCGTGGCTCTACAATCAACAGCCCCGGGTCCCCCGTCCACGTCCATGTGCCGCGGAGACATGACAGGAGGGCCCATTTCTCATTCTGCCAAACCGTGCGAGGCGGCGGCCGGCCTGGCGCCCCCCGTCAGCACGCTAATGCTATACTACGCCACGCTACGCCCTTTCGCGCCCCTCGCATCGGGATAATCTGGTTGTGAGAATCTTGAGCGGTGGGCGGTGGGTGGTATGGGCCGGCGTCGCGCGTCATAGGGGGGAAGCATGTCATCAAACTACAGATTTTGTTCGCCCCTAAGAGTCTTTCAATCTGTTTTGTGGTGCTCCTTTAAAAAATAAAAATAAAATGAGGCACCCACATGTGGATTTTTTAATCAAACATTACTATGGAATCAGCTGAGAAATTCAAAATAAGGACGTATTGGCAATTTTAATTTAATTCACGACTACTTACTTCATCGGGAAATCCCTGAGGTTTCTTCTTTACGGTGCTTTCCAGACACCAGAGAGGTGCGCCGGCACTGAACTGGGCGCGATAAAGGGGTTGTTCTCGACCCAAAAGGTCGAAATGTGGACGCTGTTACAGTTGTGGGCGCGCCTCTGCTCGCACAATCCCCGATGCCCTTGCCGTGGGCGTCCCAATCAGCACGAAAATCTGTGAAACTATCGATTAATTGCAAGAGTATGCGATACGGCGCAATCACGCAATCAATATGTACGTCCGACAGTCAACAGTCTGACTGAGTTGTGGCTCCATCGCTCTCTTCACGCATTGCCGCAGGGCTCACGGCGCATGTGCGGAGGGCACCTCGTTCGCACATCGACACTCGGCAATGACGTTGAACATGCGTTGCCGGCGTCGTCGCGGTGATCGCGGGCGTAGACAATGGATCTCGCTTAATCTACTGACCCCCGACAAAACCAACAGAGAGAAATAATTCGGAGCGGAAACGAGCGGGAATCGAACAACATCCGACGTTCGATACTATCTGCACTCACGCTACACCGGCCCTGATGCGGTGGCGCGTCACCGCGGGCGCGGGGTCAGCGTGTGAGGTTAAGCGGGGGTGGCGACAGAGTCCCGGACCCGGACAGAGTCCCACACAGAGTCCCAGACAGAGTCCCAGACAGAGTCCCGGACAGAGTCCAGCACAGCGTAGAGACCCACAATATTTTCACGGTTACGACTAGGACTAGGCCCTATGCGATTTGGGGAGGCTTTTCATCTTACAACAAAGCATAAGCACTATGTTGTATCATGTCGGACTCAATTGATGTGAAGACTAGGGTATTTTTAGGGGGTGCGCCTGAGGTGGGTGTAGGAGCCGGGTGTGGGGGCCGAGCCCCTCTCCCCTCTCCCAGCTTTTTGGACCTTCCTACGCGCCCGCCATTATAAGCGCTGTAAGCTTGGCACCCATAAGTAAGTACAGATGCCCCTCGATGGAATGGTTTTAATGTACTTCATCTTGCAGAGAAGAGTAGCGGGTAGAACATAAACGTTCCATGTCACGCTCGTAGTAGGTGGGGGATTGGGGGGCGGGGGCTAAAGGCTCAACCGGTCAGGAATGTGTTCTATTCTCCTTCCTTCGTTAGCTAAATTACACCGTAGAAAGCGGTAGAAAGCGTGAATCTACGTAAAATGAAAAAACTTTAAGGGAACGATACTATATTATGAGTATGCCGTCCACATCCAGGGTGCCATCCGGGAGGCTGCCGTTGAGGCCCACTCCAGGGCCGGGACTTCATGTCCCGCTACATCAACGAGTGCAACGCAATACTCAGGAACTTGTCGCAGGAAGTGAGGTTGGTATGCGTCAGCATGGCGTCAGCGGCCCGCATTTCTGTGGACCTTCCCTGTAGCTTCTGCCAAACCGGGTCTTCCGCTTCTTCTCCAGGTCCAGGTGCCCCACCGATGACCAGTACTGCTGCTACTTGCACTGCTGTTTCCTTAACCGGCAACACAAGGAAATCTGGGAGACGTGGTACTTCTGGTAAGGAGATATACCCACACCCTCATACGCTCGCACCGGCGACAGCGCGCCTCGTGGTTGACGGTGGTCGTGTCGGCGCACAGGTTCGGCGTGGGCCTCATCGGACTGCTCATGTTCACGTCGGCCACCTCCTTCCTCGTCGGCATGTGCACCAAGAAGCGCCACCAGCTGATCCGCGTCCATCACGCGGCCAACCTGGCGGCCGCGGAGGGCGGTGCGGCCCGTGCGGCCGCGGGGGGCTGCTCCCCGGAGGACACGCTGCCGGCCACCGCGGCCACCGTCACGGCCGTCACGGGGCCCGACGGCCTGATCCAGCCCTTCGTGGAGGGCGGGCTGCCCGCCGAGGTGGCGGCGCGCTACAAGACGCAGGGGCCGCAGGGCACCGCCACCGTCATCTTCCGCGGGTACGTGAGTCTCGGCCGCACAGTCAGCCTGCGGTCGGGCGCGTAGGCAACCCGCCGCGCACGCAGGCGGCTCCCAGCCACGGCGGCCTACGTGCCAGGCGACTGCTCGTTGGGCGGGAAGGGGAGGGACCAGGTACCGGCCGGGGACGGACGCGACGGCCCCGTTTTTGGCCACGTAAATGTGGCCACACAACCGTCGGCCAGTGTCAGCTCAATACGACCCGACTATAGAATATTATTTTGGGGGCAATATGTGATATCCGTCGCCCCCAGCCACACGCGCCTTTTGTGCAATCGACACGACCGCACGCAGCTTCATCCGAACCAAAACTGAGATCAACTCCCGGCCGGGGGACACTTTTTTGTCGCTTCTTTTCTCCCGTTAGGCAGGACCGAGCTCAGAACTCAAACCGGGAACGGCGAGCTGGTAGCCGAGCGCGCTAAAGCTTGTTCGTTGGCAGAGCGTGCGGATGGTCGGTAGTTCGGATCGCATCATTTTTCCTCCTCTGCTGGCTAAAGTGTCTTCGGGCGTCAGCGACATGTGGATGCCGCCGGAAACTGTGCTCGCTATCGTTCCTTCCTGGCTAAGTCGGTGGCGTCCAGGCCCGTCATGAAGCTGGTCGCTGGTTCGGATCCCCGATCCGTAGACTTTTTTCGCGCTCCGCTGGCCATGACTTTAGCCGCGTTACACCTGATGTGATGGGCCGGTACGCAAACAGTCGCTGGTTCGAATCTCGTCGACGGAACCCTTTTTTCCCCAGCCCCCGCCCGCCGTGTGTTTCCGGGTGTGAGCCACAGCGAAGATAATAATTTCCTTTGCAACACAATCGTTGACTCAGTTTGTAGAGCGCTCACTCCGTATTCTGATGGTCGCTGGTTCGAATACTCAGAACTATTTTCACCGTTTTTCCGGCATCCGAATTAATTGACCACGCCTCCAGCTAGATGGCGTAGTGGACCTCACCGACCACCTACTCAGGAGGTGCCACAAAAAATGAGAAAAAGTTCGCCCCGACCGGGAGTCGATCCCTCGCCCGGCAGTGTCCAGGGAACCAAGTCCCAGCACGCCCGCCACTCGGCTATCAGCTCTACCAGAGCCTTGCGTTTGGGGTCCGGAGGCCGGCCGGCCAGAGGCCGGGCGGTTCGGCCACAGGCCGGCGAGAGGCCGGGCCGGTCTGTCGCAGG